AACTAACTAACTAACTAACTAACTAACTAACTAACTAACTAACTAACTAACTAACTACTAACTAACCTACTAACTAACTAACTAACTAACTAACTAACTAACTAACTACTAACTACTAACTAACTAACTAACTAACTAACTAACTAACTAACTAACTAACTACTAACTAACTAACTAACTACTAACTAACTAACTAACTAACTAACTAACTAACTAACTAACTAACTAACTAACTAACTACTAACTAACTAACTAACTAACTAACTAACTAACTACTACTAACTAACTAACTAACTACTAACTAAACTAACTAACTAACTAACTAACTAACTACTAACTAACTAACTAACTAACTAACTAACTAACTAACTAACTAACTAACTAACTAACTAACTAACTAACTAACTAACTAACTAACTAACTAACTAACTAACTAACTAACTAACTAACTAACTACTAACTAACTACTACTAACTAACTAACTAACTAACTAACTAACTAACTAACTAACTAACTAACTAACTAACTAACTAACTAACTAACTAACTAACTACTAACTAACTAACTAACTAACTAACTAACTAACTAACTAACTAACTAACTACTAACTACTAACTAACTAACTAACTAACTAACTAACTACTAACTAACTAACTAACTAACTAACTAACTAACTAACTAACTAACTAACTAACTAACTAACTAACTACTAACTAACTAACTAACTAACTAACTAACTAACTAACTAACTACTACTAACTAACTAACTAACTAACTAACTACTAACTAACTAACTAACTAACTAACTAACTAACTAACTAACTAACTAACTAACTAACTAACTAACTAACTAACTAACTAACTAACTAACTAACTAACTAACTAACTAACTAACTACTAACTAACTAACTAACTAACCTAACTAACTAACTAACTACTAACTAACTAACTAACTAACTAACTAACTAACTAACTAACTAACTAACTAACTAACTACCTAACTAACTAACTAACTAACTAACTAACTAACTAACTAACTAACTAACTAACTAACTAACTAACTAACTAACTAACTAACAACTAACTAACTAACTAACTAACTAACTAACTAACTAACTAACTAACTAACTAACTAACTAACTAACTAACTATACTAACTAAACTAACTACTACTAACTAACTACTTACTAACTAACTAACTAACTAACTAACTAACTAACTAACTAACTAACTAACTAACTAAATACCTACTGACGGTATATAGTCAAGACTACAGATCAGTCTATATTTAAGACTACAGAGAAGACTGTAGATCTGTGGATAATCAACACAAGATTTCTTCATAAATTTTTGTCTTGATATAAATTTCTGTAGAAATTTTGTTTTGGCATAATTTTTATTAAATTTTTTTATTTAAATTTTATTTTTCTTGGTGTTCGTTTAATAAAATTTTGCCCTAACATAAATGTATTTTCAACGTTTCAAAATTTTCATTAGATAATTTTTGTTTATATAAATCTGTCTTGACATAAATTTTAGTAAAATTTTTATTTTCTACAAAGTATTGAAACTCAAGACTATTGTATTTTACTCAATCTTAGTAAAAAACTACTTATTTAATAAAACTTTATATTTACATATTATCGAAATATATATTAATGTTTTCCCCATTTGCTTGTATGTACTTTTTATTGCAACACAAATAGAATTTTGTATGAATATAAGATGTTTTTTCCCAACATTCATAAGTATATGTGTTTATATTTCTAAAGATTTATATCACTAAGCAACCATAAATCGCTTTGAGACGATCTGTAAAGGAAACTATGGTTACTTAAAGAAATATTTTCATTGCGTTATATATTGTAAAATATTTGACTTTTATACTGGAATATAAATAAGTATAAAAGGATTTAAGAATAGAGGGTCATGTGAAAAGGTCAAACCAATAAAGTTGGAGTTAAAAAGTTCAAGGAATATTTTAGACGGCTGCAGATAAAGGTTGTATGTGTAAGGTATGAACAATTAATTGGGCGGTATCAAAAATAAGATATTCCTCAGACATCACAAAACTCTTCATAGCTTGATTCCCATTTATTTCATTTCCCCCTGTAACTGTAGAAATATGAATTTAAAATCGTAAACACATGCATAATGTTGCATAAAATTGCAATTTAAGTAAAATGTAAAAAAAAACACAAAAAAAAGAAAAAAATAATTTTCTCCCCAGAGATCATGACACAGACAAAATGTTTTTTGCTCATACTTTTTCTAGTTATTTACTTGCTGCATATTTTACACATTTTATAGAATTTCTTCTATAAGATTTGCTTGCAAAAGGACACCCACTCGAATTTTTGTCATTTGTTAAAAGTGGACTTTTAAAGGAAATCATGGAAGGAAAAAACTACTAAAAGGGTGCATAGCAAAAAGAAATCTAAAGGAACATTTCAACATTTTTATTGTTGACCATGTGTATTTACATATGAAATATATTTGTTATTTGAATATTTACTAACATGCGGAGTAATGGAGTAGAAAAGAAGTAAATAGTATGGAAAAAACTCTACTTTTGATAGATGTTTGAGACTGCAGAAATATATGTATATGTATTGTTGCAAGAAATTCAAATTACAAATTTAAAATGCAAGTTAATCCAACAATTTAAGGGGAATATAGAAAAAGGAATTTGAAATGTCACAAAAACATAATTTCTTTGCTTTCAATGGAAAAACTAAAGAACATTTACTGATGAAATTTCTTTCAAGATAAAATTTTGTAAATAAAAATGATGCTATTGATAAAATTTACTATTCAAGTTTATGGTAAGACAACATTTTTGTCAAGACAAAATTATTCGCAGATATCTAGACTGAACTAGAACTGAACTAGAACTGAACTAGAACTGAACTAGAACTGAACTAGAACTGAACTAGAACTGAACTAGAACTGAACTAGAAATGAACTAGAACTGAACTAGAACTGAACTAGAACTGAACTAGAACTGAACTAGAACTGAACTAGAACTGAACTAGAACTGAACTAGAACTGAACTAGAACTGAACTAGAACTGAACTAGAACTGAACTAGAACTGAACTAGAACTGAACTAGAACTGAACTAGAACTGAACTAGAACTGAACTAGAACTGAACTAGAACTGAACTAGAACTGAACTAGAACTGAACTAGAACTGAACTAGAACTGAACTAGAACTGAACTAGAACTGAACTAGAACTGAACTAGAACTGACTAGAACTGAACTTGAACTGAACTAGAACTGAACTAGAACTGAACTAGAACTGAACTAGAACTGAACTAGAACTGAACTAGAACTGAACTAGAACTGAACTAGAACTGAACTAGAACTGAACTAGAACTGAACTAGAACTGAACTAGAACTGAACTAGAACTGAACTAGAACTGAACTAGAACTGAACTAGAACTGAACTAGAACTGAACTAGAACTGAACTAGAACTGAACTAGAACTGAACTAGAACTGAACTAGAACTGAACTAGAACTGAACTAGAACTGAACTAGAACTGACTAGAACTGAACTAGAACTGAACTAGAACTGAACTAGAACTGAACTAGAACTGAACTAGAACTGAACTAGAACTGAACTAGAACTGAACTAGAACTGAACTAGAACTGAACTAGACTGACTAGAACTGAACTAGAACTGAACTAGAACTGAACTAGAACTGAACTAGAACTGACTAGAACTGAACTAGAACTGAACTAGAACTGAACTAGAACTGAACTAGAACTGAACTAGAACTGAACTAGAACTGAACTAGAACTGACTAGAACTGAACTAGAACTGAACTAGAACTGAACTAGAACTGAACTAGAACTGAACTAGAAACTGAACTAGAACTGAACTAGAACTGAACTAGAACTGAACTAGAACTGAACTAGAACTGAACTAGAACTGAACTAGAACTGAACTAGAACTGAACTAGAACTGAACTAGAACTGAACTAGAACTAAGAACTAGAACTGAACTAGAACTGAACTAGAACTGAACTAGAACTGAACTAGAACTGAACTAGAACTGAACTAGAACTGAACTAGAACTGAACTAGAACTGAACTAGAACTGAACTAGAACTGAACTAGAACTGAACTAGAACTGAACTAGAACTGAACTAGAACTGAACTAGAACTGAACTAGAACTGAACTAGAACTGAACTAGAACTGAACTAGAACTGAACTAGAACTGAACTAGAACTGAACTAGAACTGAACTAGAACTGAACTAGAACTGAACTAGAACTGAACTAGAACTGAACTAGAACTGAACTAGAACTGAACTAGAACTGAACTAGAACTGAACTAGAACTGAACTAGAACTGAACTAGAACTGAACTAGAACTGAACTAGAGCTGAACTAGAGATGAACTAGAACTGAACTAGAACTGAACTAGAACTGAACTAGAACTGAACTAGAACTGAACTAGAACTGAACTAGAACTGAACTAGAACTGAACTAGAACTGAACTAGAACTGAACTAGAACTGAACTAGAACTGAACTAGAACTGAACTAGAACTGAACTAGAACTGAACTAGAACTGAACTAGAACTGAACTAGAACTGAACTAGAACTGAACTAGAACTGAACTAGAACTGAACTAAAACTGAACTAGAACTGAATTAGAAATTTCTGTAAAAATTTTGTTAAAGAAATTTATGTCAAGACAACTTTTTCTATTGAAATATATATCAATACAAAATTTTCTATAGAATTTATGTGAAAACAAAATTTTCCAAAAAAAAAAAAAAATTGTAAAAAAAATCTTGCAAAACAATTTTTTCTATATAATTTTATGTCAACACAAATTTTCTACAGAGATTTATGTACATATATGCAAAATTTCTTAAGGAATTTTATGTAAAGACATAATTTTCTAAAGAAATTTATTTTAAATTAAAATAAAATATGTTTCGAAGACTGATTTTTATTTTGTATTTGTGAAACTCTTTCTCTTGATTTTCTATGAATTACCTGTCAACGAATTGAAATATTTATTATATAAAAAATATTTTAAAAGTAATGAAAGCTTTTGGAAATATAGCATAATGAGGTTTTTACAATTTTTTTTACTAGTTCTGTGATTTTTTGTTTATTTATTTAAGTTTTAATTCCAATATAGTTTTGCTGAGCGTTCTCTGAACTGTTTTCAAATACATTGGAATGGCTTTTTCTACTTTTTTTTCTCCGCTGCAAATATTGCCTTTGTTATTTCTAAAACCGGAATTGGTAGGTAATGCTAAATACATATAAATTTTAAAGTTCATTGTTATATCATTAATAGGAATGGCGCTCCATATTTCTTATCTCTTGGGCTTTTATTTGGTACTTGGTGGATGTGGTGCCTGTAGGAGTTACAGGACTATTGCCTATAATATTCTATCCCATAATGGGTGTAATGGTGAGTAACGTTCTACTACAGCTTAAGATTTATAACTGTATTGAAAATTCCATTTCTTTCTAGGGCTCTCAAGAAATTTGCATGTCCTATGCTCGTGATGCTCAATTTCTTTTCCTATTATCCAATTTTATAGCCGCCACCATACAGCACTGTAATGTGAACAAGCGTTATGCTTTCCTTATAATGTCCACTTTCAGCTGTGATCCTAAAAAGTTTGTGTTGTTTATCAAATATCCCACATTTTTATCTTAACTAAAATTTACTTTATGTTTTAGATTACTTCTAATTCTCATGCTGACTTCCTATGTTTTAACAACATTACTACCAGCCGCCATTGTTTGTGCTCTCATGATGCCAATTATAAGAGCAATTTTGCAGCTGTTAGATCAGATAAGTATTTGCAAAGCTATCGATGAAGCTGTGATACTAAAAGATGACGAAACTCCGTATCCCTCCAAAGTAGCTAATGCGTTTTATATAGGAGTAGCTTATGCCATAAATATTGGCAGCATAACAACAGCCATAGCCTCAGATAGCGGCATGGCTTTAAGGAAAATTATTGAAACGTAAGTAGTGAAATTTTGAATAATTTTTTCATTAAAATGATATTTAATTTTGCAGTGAACCTTCCCTTTCCAATTTGGATAACAATTTCCATTTGAAATATATTTTGATTTCATTACCCGTCTCCCTAATGCTTCTAATTTTTACAACATTTTATTTGGAATTTATCTTCTTGGGCTACAAGCGTTCACAGAGCTCCGCAGCTCAGGCAATAGCTTATGAAAAAGAACCTTCCAGGTTGGCTTTGGAGTCTCTTGCCCAAGAACTACCGCCTTTTAATACACATATGATATTAGCATCAGTGTTGTACTTTGGTTCATGTATTGGTATAACAGTGGGATCCTTAGTGGGTCAGGAAATAAATAATAAGTGAGTAAATGTAAAAAGGAACAAAACTAGAACAGAACTAGAAAAGAACTAGAACAGAACTAGAACAGAACTAGAACAGAACTAGAACAGAACTAGAACAGAACTAGAACTGAACTAGAACTGAACTAGAACTGAACTAGAACTGAACTAGAACAGAACTAGAAGAACTAGAACAGAACTAGAACACTAGAACAGAACTAGAACAGAACTAGAACAGAACTAGAACAGAACTAGAACAGAACTAGAACAGAACTAGAACAAACTAGAACAGAACTAGAACAAACTAGAACAGAACTAGAACAGAACTAGAACAGAACTAGAACAGAACTAGAACAGAACTAGAACAGAACTAGAACAGAACTTGAACAGAACTAGAACAGAACTATAACAGAACTAGAACAGAACTAGAACAGAACTAGAACAGAACTTGAACAGAACTAGAACAGAACTAGAACAGAACTAGACAGACTAGAACAGAACTAGAACAGAACTAGAACAGAACTAGAACAGAACTAGAACAGAACTAGAACAGAACTAGAACAGAACTAGAACAGCTAACGAACTAGAACAGAACTAGAACAGAACTAGAACAGAACTAGAACAGAACTAGAACAGAACTAGAACAGAACTAGAACAGAACTAGAACAGAACTAGAACAGAAACTAGAACAGAACGATAACAGAACTAGAACAGAACTAGAACAGAACTAGAACAGAACTAGAAACAGAACTAGAACAGAACTAGAACAGAACTAGAACAGAACTAGAACAGAACTAGAACAGAACTAGAACAGAACTAGAACAGA